CCCCCCCCCCCCCGATTTGCTCTGCTTTGCCCTCCAAGTGCCTGTGCTTTACCCTGGCATCTCTTGCAGTGATGTCGCAGTGGAGCTGCCCTTCACGCTGATGCATCCCAAACCCAGAGAGGAACCAGCACATCGGGACAGTGAGTGTCCGGCCCTGGTGGTGGGGACAGTGCCTCTGGGGGGTGGGTGTGGGCAGAGGAGCCAGTGAGGCTGTGTGGAGTGAGAATTTTGGCTCCCATTGAGCCTGTGGTTTGCAGGGTCCTGGGATGGAGGTGCCCCCACCACCCTGGTGCAGCCAAACCCTGTGAGGGTTGTACCATGCCAGTGGGATGGAGGTGACCACACCAGGGGGGCTGACCACCCCAGGGGGTGCACCACCTTAGTGGGATGGAGGCTGACCACTCCAGGGGAGTCTCACCCACCCTGCTGGGACGGTGGTGACCATGCTGGGGAGTGGCACCCATGCTGGGGAGTAGCAGTGACAAGCTAGTGACTAACCCTATGCCCTCCTTCTGTTCAGTTCCAGAGAACGAAGCACCCATAGATACAAATCTGATAGAGCTCGACACAAAGTAAGAGACCGAACTGCAGCCCCCCCTTCCCCTAATTTCCACATTCTGTGTGGGAATGAGAAATGCTGGCAGTGGTTGCATGGCACCCCCCTAACCTGCTAACGCCTGCTGTGCCATGGGATCAGCACATGTGACTAACCCCACGCATGTCACCTGTAATGCATGATGCATGCTGTCCCCCTCTCTCTCTCTTCTCTCCTCCCTCGCCATTCCCTGCATGGCTTTCCAAAACAACCAGGAGAAACCGCAGTAAGAGCCTGCTGGGATCGTGTGTTGGAGTTGGGGGGTGGGGAAGGTGTCCCTCAGGGTTGGTGATGGGTTTGGGAGGTTTTGGGGTGCTTCACCAACCCAGCTGCTCCCTGTGGGGCTGCAGTCAGCCCAGAGGAGGAGCTGTGCATCCCTCCTGGAATGATCCCCCACCTGTTTCTGGTTTTTTTCTGGGGTGCAGAGGGAAATTATTAATAAAGTTGTGAAAACTAAGGCTGTTTGCTGAGGGATGGGGGGTTAGGAGCCCCCTGAGCTGCTGGAACACTATGGCAGTGCAGATTGAGCTCACTGGAGAAGCCAGGACAGCTTTGCAGTGGGGAGGGTGGGGCTCACTTTGCACCCCACATCCTCCCCTAACTCACTCTCCCTTGTGTCCCTGCTAGTGATGACGACATTGTGTTCGAAGACTTCGCCCGCCAGCGACTCAAAGGCATGAAGGACGACAAGGAGGATGAGGAGGAGAGGACAAACTCCCCACAGCTCAACGACAGATAAGCGAGCCCCCCCTGCTCGCCACCCTGCCCCAGGGACACCCCTGCATTAGGCTGCTTCTCTTTTCTATAATTAATTAATTTTGTTTTCTACCTGTACTGGGAGCCTACGGATCGCCCGATGGCCACAGGACCTATAGCCGTCCAGCTGTGCCGTGTTGTCACTCTTCATCCAGCTGCCAGAGCTGCTGTTTCCCGTGCAAGGCACAGCCAGGGGGGTGCTGGAGGCAGGGGGGCTCACTATGCCCCCACCCACCCCCCGCCACTTCCCAGAGCCCTTTCCTATGAGCTGCCTCTTTTATGTTTTATATAAGCCCAGTCTCAACACCAGTTTGCTATGGGGAGGGGGGTTGCAGCAGAACGGGGTGGGGAGTCTTTTTTAGGCAGCCTGCTCATGGGAAAGGGCACCTGTGTACCTCGGTGTTCCCTCCTTTTGCCCATGGCCTGTCCCCACCCATGTCCAGCCCTGCTGCATGTGTTCCCTCCCCGGGATGCATGAGCCTGGCTTCGACTTTGGCCCCTGCCCCACACCTGCCCCAGCTGCTCCAAACAAGGTGGGTGGGCAGCACCCCCCCTGCTCTTTCCCCCAAAACTCCCCAAAGTGGCCAACCCCAGGGATTCTCTCCCAGCTGCATCTGTTTTCACACCAGTATAACTTCCCTGGAGGAAACCAGCTCGGAGCTGGGAGCTGCCAGGGCCAGTTTA